TAAGATAGAGCAGAAAAACAATAAATAAGAAAAAGAGTTTTGAATAGCGTGTACATAAGAGATGCATATGAAAGAAAAAGAAAAAAGGTGTGCTGCCTTCCGAAGGTAGAGGAGGGGAAAAGGAAATTAAAAATTAGAAGCAACGCACTGAGATTAATGGATTTGAAGTATAAGGAGAAGAAAAGAAAATGAAAAAGATATAATAAAAGCTGCCTAGCCTTTAAAGTAATTAATCTTTTCATTTATTTATACCGTTTTTTGATATTAGAGAAAAATGGTAGCACACTTATACTGAGCTCACACCATGTTAACATAGTACAGCTCTTAATTCGTGGACTATGTTGTTAAATAATTAACCGATGAATCATAAGTAAATAATTGAAACTTGGTTCTCTAAGCCTCACAATTGAGAGCATAAAACTGTCACAGTGAAATCAGATTTTAGCAGAACCAATATTGTAGTTAATTAGAAAGACTGGGAAAAAAAATCTAAAATCTAGCTGTAAAGACTGCTAGCTGAAGCACCTGGGCTCCATTTCCCCATGGAACAAAATAAAATGGATCATCTATTATTTAAATCTCCTATATTAAAGTTACATCTGAAGATGGAAACAGAGATTGCTAGTTCCTCTGCAAAATTCCTAGACCTGCCCTGGGCCTTGTCCTGTTGGAGAGGGTTAGTGATCTGGGCAGCAGGACAGGAAAGGATGTCACTCTAAGAGACTAAGGCAGTCCTATATTTGTGATAAAATATATTTTCCTCCAATATTCTTAAAATTAAGAACTATAAAACAAGTCCTTATGCTTCAATGGACAATGTCTCATCAGATCCACAGCACTGTTTAACAACATTAAGAACAAACAGCTTCAAGAATCTAATAATAACTGTATTTATTCTTGCAAAAGAGGAAGAGTAGAGAAACTAAAAATGATCACTATTTGCATCCACAAAACAAAATAGTTCCTTTTCTCCCATGAACACCTCTTTTATTTTCCAATATAGCAAAAGCACATGCTTCAACTCTAAGAAAGGCAATTAATCTGGATTCTGCCATCATTACAGTCACAGGATTATTTTCATTATTTATTTTACAATGAGAGGACTCTGGAAGCACAGATCCTGCTGTGCAGAGCCATCCCATTCCTTCATGAGAACAACCTGGTAAGAATCAAAAATCTAAGGAACAGCAAACAATTATTCCAATAAAGAAATGACAAAATGCTACAATGTTTATTGAATGACATTCATTTAATTTGTTCATTCTTGTAATCTGTTATTTTAAAAATAAATAGAAGGCATTTTATTTTTTAGAAGCCCACACCCCTCCAGCTTCCTGATGTTTAGTCTTGCAAAACACTTGCCAGCAGCAAAAATTTTAGGTGTCTTTGAGTATCACCACGGGGATGAAAAAGTACAACAATTTCTCAGCACCCCCAATAGCCTCCATGCCTGAGATCAGATGGATTTCACACACCTCCCTTCATCCAGGTTCACTGGCACCTGTCCCTCAGCCCCTGCCTTGGGGTTCATTTCACCACAGCCTGGGCGTGAGCATATGACGAGGAGTCAGTCTCGAAGTAGGTCTCCAGCTGCTCACAGAGGGCCTCGAAGGTGGGCCGCCCGCTTGGCTCCGCACTCCAGCACTGCAGCATCAGCTGGTAGAATGGTGCTGGGCAGGTCTCCGGCTGAGGAAGTCTGTACCCCTTGTCCAGCATCTGGATCACCTGGTGTCCTGTCATACCTGCAAGCCAAAAGGAGTTTGTCAGACTACTCAGGGCCTCTGTAGTGACGTCGCGTGTCCCTATCTCTTACTGAGATGGGATGCCCACCCCCCCATGAGGCAGACATACACCTGCGGGCAGAGATGGCCTCAGCAGATCCTCTTCAATGGCTACAGGCCACAGGAGTCACTGGAGGACCCCAAACCAGCAGTTGAAAACCATCTCCAGCACTTCTTGGCCCCCTCACCCTGACTGTGCCACCTGAGAGGCACAGCAAATGGGTTTGTCTGGGTGTGAGGCTTCTCCTCTGCCACCTGGGTTTGCTGAAACTGTTCCTAAATCCCTCTAGTTGCAGTGATTCCAAAATCTCCCAAGAAAATCTGTCCCACTGCTGAATTTTCCTCACATTTAGAAAGTTTTCCCTAACGTCAGCCCTAAGTTTCCTCTGGTGCAGCTCTGCAGTGGCATCCTGCCTGCTCTGTCACTGCGGGTCATGGAAAATAAACCATTCCCCTACCTTTGCTTTGTGTTTATATATTAAGGCTACTGCCCATTTCCCTTTCAATTCTCTGCTCTTTAAATTAAATCTTGAATTGCATCATCTTTACCTCTTTTCTCCAGATCCCTGAATGGTGTTTCCTCTTTACATTACCTACCACCACCATGGGTCAACATAACCTCTTCTCCTAACAGATTACTGAGGACAAACTCCCAAAAATAATACAAAATGAGCAAATAGTCATGGCAAAAGGACATTTTCTACTGTAAAATTACAGGTAAACTATGCTTTTGCCAAAGCATAATGCTGAATATATTTTCTGACAACACTGAGAACCATGATGTTACGTATCATTTATACTTGAACAGTTTATTTACATCTGTGTCTGCATATGCACACACCTATGGTTCATATACGAAAGAGTTGAGGATTTTTGGCTTTACTTTTTTTCTTTTCTTTTCAGAACAGTGAGTGTCACAGGAGGCAAGGGCAGGAATCAAAAAGCAAAATCAATTTTTCCTTTACAGGACCAGTTTGGGACACTGTGAAATGTAGCTTATGGCAAACACACCACCCCTCAAGCCTGTGCAGATGCAGCATAGCTTTTTTTTGCTTTAGTCCTTCGCTTGTGTTCTCCTCACCAGCACAAAATGAGACACAGTCAATCATTTCACTGATATCTTGTGTTATTGGAGCCACGGTTCCTTGAGCATTTCTCACAGTGCTAGGAATAATAGCTGCTCTCATACCATTAAATCTGCTTCTGAGGTTAGTGACATTTTATTCCTAATTCTTGTGCTCCTTCTCTTTATAAGACTCTCCACTGCAATAGTCAAATATGAGGGAAGGGGATAAAAACATCCCGATTTATTTTTCAGACACCTTCTTCCTGAAGTGGCTGTGCAGCACATCACACATAATAATCTGTTCTTCCACAAGATATCCTCAAAAAGATAAATTTTAAAAACCCACAAGGGCAGGATAGGGGAAAGAAAAACCTTTCCTTTTTCCACATTCCAAGAATTGGCACCTTTGATCCAACATCTTTGATGCTGGAGGGAAATAGCTGGTTGGTTTAGATGCCTGTGCAATGAGGTTGACTCCAGCAAGAGGAAGCTTGAATGGCTGCTAATCACAGCGTTTGGAAAGCTGCCAGGAAGCCTGGGGCAGCCAGAAGTTCTGACCCACTAAATGAGCCTCATCTGAACGGACTTCTTTCTGTATTTACAGTTTTAAGCCTTTAACATTCCTGTAGTATAGGCATTCAACTTTTTGTGTGTGTGTAGTTCTTAAAGCAAGAAAACATTAGACATCATTCTTTTGATAAAAGCACTTACCAGCATAAGGCATCTTCCCGTAGGTGATTATTTCAAACAGAAGTATTCCAAATGACCAGACATCTGACTTAACGCTGAATTTGTTGTAGCGGATTGCCTCTGGGGCTGTCCATTTCACTGGGAGTTTTGTCTCAGGCCTAGCTTCATATACGTTTTCATTCTCTACCTGTCATGGGTAAAACCAAGCAAGCCTGATTTCAGATGTGCTTCAGCAAAGCACTTAAGCACCTATGCTAAGCACGTGCTTAATCTTATCCTCTTTTAGCCAAGCACTTGCCTTTCATGGTATTAAAGCACACAGTTACTGAAGTCTATTGTTGAATTGGGCTTCACAGTTGAGAAATGCTACCATTTGGGAGCTTTTCTAAAGCATTTATCATTTCAAGTGAGTATGCAGCACTGGAGTGGCTTGTGATTAATTATGACCTGCTACTGTGAATTCTGGATCTGGCATGCAAGATTTCAAAAGTGTGTCAGGAGTGGCAGCGAAAGCATCCTGCTGACACTAGAGACCAAAGACTGGTCTTCAGTAATCAGAGAAGGCAAGAGCAAGAGCTAATGAATTTCGGAATTTTTCTTCTGTGATTTATTGTGGTGTTGAAGGGCCATTGACTTTGAAAACAATCACTTAAGCAGGTTTCCAGGACCAAAGAACAAACTCCAAGTGATTCAAATTAATATATTAGCTTACAGTGGGTCCAATTAATGCATGTAAAGTGAAGAAGAAAGACACACAGAAAAAGGAAAATTGTTTACTTGCAAATTTGTGGAATTATGTCCTTAAAGTTTTATAGTACAGACCTCTAAACTTTGTGTAAATTTATTCTCTCTTTAATTCCTAAACGTAAGTTAGTATACATCAGTCACATCCAAGCCTTGGTCAGGTTTTTTTGCATGCAAATACAGGTAAATGTGTACAAGATTTTACTTGCTTGATTGTTTTTAATATGGAATGTATGTTTCCCATTTGTAATGTCCAATAGTTTTAAACAGACCAGTTGTATCTACATACAGATACAGTTGGCATCTTTACCATAATACTCATATCTAGAAATAAGGAATGATTTAATTATTCTAATTAACACATACAGAAATACAGATTTCATTTCTACTCCTTTGGGATCTTTGCATGTGACTGTGTTAGCTCTTTGGCTTAGGAGACACAATATTCCTAAGAAAGCCTGCCAAAATGACTCTACAACAGACTATTTTAGTATAGTTCAGTTTTAACAAGAAATGTCAACAGCTATAAATTATTACCCTCTCTAGTGAGGACAGAGCACAAATATCCATTGTAAGCATTGTTCATTTAAAAAATATATTTTTCATGTTAAAAAATGTGCAATCTAAACTTATGCATAACTAGAAGAATCAAAATTAAGCAGAAAAGCACCCTTGACGCCATTGTCAAGCCATTATTCTATACTTCAGTATGTAATAAATCCAGCTCTGTTATGAACTTCAATTTCTGCTATTTAAATGAGAAAAAAAAAAAAAGCAAACTAGAAGCAGAAGGTTTTTTCCTCTGTTTTTCTTTCTTAGTTCAAGAACATAAATCAATAAAAACAATAAGACCTCAGGAATTACAGATTACATATTGAAAACCATAAAATATGGTAAATCAAATCTTTTGTACTCTGATCAAATAATTTTCAGAGGCAAGAAAACCACATTTCTAAACCACAGCTCTTTCCTAGGGTGATGTTGGTCAACATTACTTGGCATTCCATATCCTCAAGAGCTAAAGAAAAAAAACAGTGCAATGGCAAAGAACTTGAAACTGCATCAGATTTAAAACTCTGAGAGCTCACTTTATGAACGCCACTGTTAGTCGTGGAGAGGAATAAGGTTCTTTTATGACTACTACCTGCATTCGCAAGCATCACAGAGGCAGTGGGGAAGTGAACAAGGAGAGAATAGCTGTCAATACACTTTTATAGGCCTTCCCTTACAGGCTTAGGAGTATAATTTTGCCATCATTCTTGTGATCTCTCTCCATGTGGCAGACATTAGTGTTGTGGGTAAAGGCTGTGCAGCAATGGGTATTGCTTGCCAAGCTCCTTCCATGGTGGCTGAGTGGGAAGTAGACACTGGGATGCCATTTCCAGACTGACACAAAGGCACAGGCCAGCTTCTAACCTTGCAAGGAATAATGCAGGTAGAGAATACAAGTGAACATGTTAGGGGTCCTTTTCTCCCTGGGCATGCCTTTTACCTGACCCCAGCAATTCAGAGGCTACGGTTCATCTTTTCCTTGACCTCTTCCACCTTGTTCCCCAGAGTTAAAGTAGAGCCAATTTGCCTTCTCACAACTTACCTTAAAAACTCTTGCAAGTCCAAAGTCTGCCACTTTGTAAACACCATGTTCACCAACAAGAACATTCCTGGCTGCCAGATCCCGATGGATATAGTTCTGGGATTCAAGGTAAGCCATCCCGGAAGCCACCTGAGCAGCCATGTCTACTTGTTGTGGCAGGAAGATTTGGGAGCCAGCATCTTCTGTTTAAAAAGGAAATGACAAGGATATAATTAAATATTTACAGTATTCAGATACAAATAACATAACAGCTGAGTGGTTCAAACAGCCGACACAAATCAATAGAACCATTCAATACAATAAAGTAACAGCCTGGCCAAATGACAGAGGTTAGTGAATGACACCTCTTAAAGTCATGCAGTTAATTTCACAACAACTGAGTAGCAATTCTTGTCCCATCTTCTCTAAAAGACCAGATACTAAAATGCAGCAGTTGATCTAGGCCTGGAAGGAGCTGCTGACACAATGTGAAGAAAAAGGTGTTTATCTACCAATATTAATGCAGAGGTTTGCTTTTCTTACAAGTGTGTAATCCACTCCAAACTGTGAGTAAGAGTTAATGTCAGCACTCACTGGGTGTAGCCAAAGCTGACTAAAGATGGAAAACCACAAAATTATTCTTGTTCCCTGTTCTCCAACAATTCTTACTAGGAAATATACCATCTGCTGTCAAGTGTAACTGTCATTTTCACTTTCCAGTCCACTTGACTGCTTCATGCTGCTATCTCTGTTGCTGCTACTCAACAGTAGGACTCCTTGAGCTGTTTTCAAGCTTCCTGTTTCTCTTGTAGAACTTTCTGAAGCAATGTGTATGCCATTCCCACCACTGTAAGATCAGCAAGTCCCAGAAATAGAGATTTGGCAACCGAAGACTGGCTGTTCAAAGAAAGCAGTAGAAGAACTTTGAGCAGAGCAATGTGTCTCCACAAATGAAAGAAAGAGCCTTGGGCCATGAAAACCTGCAGCCAAAAATAGTAAAATAGGTAGCCAAGAAAAAAAGTCCCTTGGAGTATAACAAATTAGAACTCAAATTCAGTGCCTTTGGGGTATTTTGGGGACAGCTGACCTCCTCATAACAAAGAATTTATATCCCAAGGTAATCTAGGTAAGCCAAATCAGTGTTATATTCAAGCATTGGTGTCACCCAAGCCCTAACACTGCAGCACTGAAGCATGAGTGCCTACCTCTGTAGCCTCTAATACTCAAAACATTTTAAATTTTCTGTTTCAGAAATTTAATAATATCAAAAATCTGAATGTATGCTGCTATGCTCATTGGCAGTTCTCCTTTCTCATCGGGAATGGTGACTTTTCCTTACTGCCTCTGTGTTAAAGCAATAAAACATTTGTAGCTGGTAGTTTTCTGTTGCTTATTTTGAACTGACTCCAAGTGAAAGTGTGTCTTAGCATTGTTTTGCATAGCCAGTTTTGGCATTTTATCTGACCTAATCTTGCAATCACCCCTAATGAAGAGTGTGAAATTCCATAATTTACTTATCTATTCTGCAATCACCAGGCCTTGAATTTCCTGCTCATCTGGATGTTCTGAGATGACTAGGCAAAAGAAATTAATTTTAAATGATTAAACTTGTCCTCTATGTGTATTGTCCTACTTCCTTTTTGAGGCATTGTCATGGTAATTCAGCACCAAGATTATTTACTTCTGTTGTTGACTCAGAAAGTCTTTTCCTCTCCCACACATATGTTTAATAGTTGCCTTGACCTTTAAAAGAGTGAGGGAGAAAAATCAAGCTATGTGAAAATCTATGGCTTAATCATCAAGAAAATCCATCATCAGGCCACAGAGTAATATAACACTCTGAAGTTTTGCAGTGCTGAAAACTGGCAGACATCAATGTTTATTATTCAGCTTGCTGGACAAAGATATAAATTCACAAAATACGTTTATGTTGTATTTAATTAGAAAACAACTAAATATGGCCAAGTAGCTTGTACAAGTACCTGAGTTTTGGAAACTAGCTTAATGTGACTCAGGTTAAAATCTCTCTCTCTATGTTGCCTTTCACACTGCTCGTTCCTTCATCTGCGCAGGCTGTGAAAGCCTGGTGAAAGCAGACAAAGATGCAGACGGGCTTGAACCCAGGTTTGTCATTCCTCTTCTGGCACTCCAGGCTGGCCTGAAATAAGCTTGCTCCAAGAGGCAGAACACAGCAATATCATGGGAAAAAAGGATGACTCATTAACCTTGTTTTTGATGATCTGCTTCAGTGCAAAATAGGAGTTAGAGCTGCTAAACCCTCCCTGTCTTATTCCCTACAGGACACACAGGTGCACTGTGTTAACAGACAAGGACAAGGTCCACCTCTGATGGTGGAATTGCAGCTGAAAGACTGTATCTTCCATTGGGGCCTCTTTGGGATCCCAGATCAAGCTGATCTACTGTCTTTAGCACGTGGGCTGAAGGGGAGGAAGAGGCTACTGTTGCCCTGGCTGCTGCAGTATTTCTTGGAGGGTTTCTCTCTGTGACCTCTGCTGCTGTTCTGGAGCTAAAGTACTAAAAGCTGTAAGGAGGAGCCTCAGATGATCAGAAGCTGAAAACTGTACACAAAGATAGAGGATGAAAGTACAGGTCTCTCTGGGATCTGAAGTGCAAATTATGTATGGTTGTGTCATAAAAATTTCTGACTATACCTCCAAAAGCCCAGGTTGGGCCAGCCAAAGCACACAAACTCAAGCACAGCACTGCCTTAGTACAACCATGGAAGCTTCCAGATCAGAGCCAGCTCCCATCTGGCTGGTTCAGAGCAGGCTGAAATGATTTAAAGCTGTATTCACATGGGTATACATGTGCTTTACTTAGTTTTAAAGCATCTTAAAGGATAAAAAACTACAACCAAAAAAAAAAAGTTAATAAAACTTCCACACTCAAAACTAGGCACTACTGATGAGTTTATAAAACCTTCCCATGGCTTATTCTTTACCCTATAAAGAAAATGTAGCACCTTTGTGTCCTTTTTACTAATATTTTTGACAAAACTATAGCCCTTATATGAAAAATTTATTAGAGAAAATATTAAAGAAGGCTTAGGGTCTGCACCCTGTTCTAAGCAATCAATCACAATATCTCACATAGGAAACACAGGAGAATATTCTCATTGACAGATGCCTGACAATAAAATAAATAAATAAGTGGCACTTTCTTCAATTAACAGCATTGCCCCCATAATAATTCACCGAACTTCAAGACTGTGTCCCTGCCAGAACAAGCCCCAGGTCTATCAGAATCAGTAAAAATGCTCATACATTTATGACAATTTCATTCACATCCAATAACAAAATTTTTCAGTTGCATTTTTTCCATACTGGTGGCAGCTCAATAACTCGGTGTAGCAGTGTTCATCAAGAAGCATCCCAAAGTACATTCGCAGGGTCCACTGGGAATTCACACACTCATCATTAAGTAGCTGTCATTATGGTGGAATGCAATAGTCACTATGCATGAAATATTAGGCATTTTTAAAACCGGAAAAACATACCGTACCTTTCTAGGAGGGGAAATTTAATCAAAGAATGATCTCTGGACTTTCCCTCTGTTCCAGTTTGCCATATTTATCTATAGTGCGCACAGAGACAGGAGCCTTTGGAAATGTTTTCCTGGTTCCTGAAGTGGCTGAGCCTCAAGAACGCTTATCAGGAGCTGTGCACTGACTGCCAGGCAATACAGATCACTTCCAGCCACAGAGCTCTGCGCAAGCTTCAAATCTCTTTCCTTATTACTCTCACTGACGGCAATGACTTTTCTCCGACCAGTACTTATCAAAGCACCTGGATCTCTGCCTCCACATCTTAGTTCTTTTTACCCCAGTGTGTGTATGCCATCAGACAAGGAGAGATGCTGCTAGGCTGAGTTTCAACTGGTCATTTTCACAGTTCTCTTGACAGCTGCCTGGAAACCAACTGACTTTCCACAGTCTTTCTGATGCAGGGCTACAGGAATGAGCACTTAGGCAAAGATCAGGTTGCATACGTGGACTTTACAGCAAGGGCAGCTGCTGTGCCTGTGCCAGTAACTGACCTACACACAGGCTGCAGCCCTGATGTGTGCTGGACATGTTGTACTACATGCACAACCAGGCTGATTTTCACCTCTGCAATAGCTGTGACTCATCCAGGCTTTCTCGGAGCTATTTCTCCTGTGCAATAAATGTTTTCATGCACAGCAATCATTTCGTGATGTGCCAGGCTCTTTCAATCAGGTAAGTGGCAATCTGCACACAAAGGCACCAAAGATGAGAATTTAAAAAAAATTTGTGCCTCACTACCTCTGGCCACTAAATGCCTACAAAACTTTAGATGATCCGGCCCAAGATCCTCGCAGCCCCTCTCTGCCCAGGTCGTGGTGGGGCTGTCCCTCTACCAGAGATTTCTTTAGCTGTAATTGTCCCTGGACTGACCCTCACTTAAAAATGGTTCCACAGAGAAGATGGGGGAAGGCATGTGTCATATAAATATTGTCTGTGGTGTTTCACAGGGCTTTGCCTTACGGGCCGGAGGCAGAGAAGAAATTTAGCAGGACAATCTCAGCAAACATTTTGTCTTCAAGAGATCATTACAGCTTTAGAGATATCTAGCATCTCGGAGACATCTGTTAAACTGAAAATGGGTAACAACACTAGAATCAAGCATTTCTGAATAGCAGGGGTGAGCTTAAAGTGCAATCATTATGCTAGTCTGTTTCAAGCTGTACAACTTTATTTTTAATTATTATTTGCCTTCAAAAGAGCACTTTGAAGTGCTGCTGAGGCAAAAGCCCTGAAGCAATAAGCAGAGGACAAATTCACAGTGAAAGGCTGTCCCTGCCTAGTAGTAGATTTCAAAGCTGTTAAGTACATTTTGAGGAAGTGCCTCTATTTCATGTCAAATATGATGACCTAACCTTCTGTATGCTTATATTTTTATTCTGTCAGGGTATGTTCCCATCTACTGATAGAACTGAGCAGAAAAATGTGGGTCATTATAAGGCAAGAATCAAACTGTGACTGTGATTCTCTCCTACTTCTCAAATACTTTGGCACGTCAAAAATTCATAAACCTCCTTCTTTCCTCTTTTCGCATCCCCACACGCGACAAATAATGTAGATTTTATATTAAACCATAGTGTTGTACTTCTAGCTTTTATGTTAGTGTATTTGCTAAACTGACAGCTGTGGCACCCTTTGAAATTATTTTATAGTTATTTGCTTACTTTGAAGGTATTCTAGAAGACTTCCATATCTCATCAGCTCAGTAATAATATAAATTGGGTCCTCCAAAGTACAAACAGCATAAAGCTGTATAAGCTTTGGATGTCTCAAGTTCTTCATTATTTGTGCTTCCCTCAGAAAGTCCTTTGGATCCATTGAACCTGAAACAATAGCACATAACAAAACATAAGCTGAGGTTATTAAAGACCTTCCGACCAGCCTGGCAGTCCTAAGGGAATAACTGAGATTGTTTTCTGTCTTTCAAAGTGTATTAGCATCTCAAATCTTCACAGTTCCCACAGAAAACAGACAGTGCAGCTGAAATAAACAGTTAATGAGTGAATATGCCAGTTGCACAGGGACAGAGAACATATGTGTTCCAGCCACCCGAAATATAAAGGCTAAAATTAACCTCCCCCAGGCAGAAAAAAGTGAGGCTAGAATGTTAACTGATGTAATTTAAGCAAACAATTATGTTGCAACTGGTTAACAAAATGTCCAGAAACTGGAGTAAGAGTACCTAGGTAATGAACGTAAAATTTCTGACAGAAAAATAGTGCTGCAAAAAGAACTTGTTGCACTTTTTTCTGCTTCAGCAATCAAAGCCTGAAAGCACTGAAATCACTTCAGCATGTAAGGAGTGGATGTGTGCATTTTATATACATAAATACAAAAAACTTATAATGTTCACATAATATACAAATATATATACACAAATATTCTCATAGTTATCTGGAACAACCTTATTAGAAACAACAATGTAGACACAGATGTAACAGTAATTTTACACTCCCTTAAATGCAGAAGTATCTTAACAGAAAACGATCCCAACCTTTTAAGTGTCACATAATGTCCTCTAGTTCTATTCACATACACAGGTAGTCAATGTATAAACTATGTCAAAGAAGCAATATGGAAATGGCACAGGGAGCTAAAGCCAGTAGCAAATTTAGCATTAGAGCTCATATGTCCTGAATAAATGAATGATTAGAAAAAAACATGCACAAATAAGGAAGAAAAGTTTTATCTATGGATGATGTAGCAGTGATCAGATATTCTCAGATGTTTGAGGAAGATGGTACCTAACATCTGCTTCACAATATTTGTTACAAACAAGCATGAAATTATCCAACTACTCAAATGTTACCTTTCTTCCAAATCAAAATAGTTTCATTAACAAAATATTACAGTGAAGGTTTAGGAAAAAAAAAATTACTCAAGTCTAGTCTGCTCTACAGCATGATTAAAACCAAACTCTTTTCTTAGTGTAAGCAGACTGAATCATTTGAGAAGCCAAGGCTGAAAGAATAAGAGTCTTTATGGGTTTTTAACTTTAGGTAACCAAGAAGGTTCATTTGGGAGTTTGGCTCTGTTCCAACATGTGTGTTTACATGAAGTGAAATATTGGGAGGATGCTAAATGGTTCAGCAATAAAACCCCACCAGAAAATCTGTTCTACAGAAGGAACTGGCAAATCAGCCTGGGACACCTTCACCCAACACCTGCCTTGAATGCTGCCTCCTGAAAAGTGCTCCAACCTACTTCCCAAAACACAGCAGTGATGTACATCGATGCAAGAGGATTGACTCAGAAATGCTTCTGACATAGACTTCATGAAAGAACAGCCACTTGACATTGCAACTTGTGAGAGCAAAGATTATTGGAAGGAACAGGTGCTCCTCTCCCCAGCATCCTCATACTTCCCTCAGCAATCCTGCAGGGTTCAATTTGATAATATTTTATAGGATGCCATTAGGAGCGATGGTGAAAGGCAATGATTTCCATGCCATCAGTAAATGGATAGCAGACAATAATAGATCTCCTCAACAGGTACAGGCTATACTCATTTCCTTTTGTCACTGTCAGAGGAAAGTGGGGGCCTGCATGAAAAGTAAATGACTCATACTGGGTCTGGATAAAGCAGAGATGAAAGTCAGGTGGAAAAAACAAATATCTGTAATGTTAATGCTATATGCTTTTCCTGTTTAGAGCAGCACAATCTTTACAGCTTTATTTGAACTTTCCACCACTCCTAGGTTTAAAAAAAAAAAAAAAAAAAAAGAAAAAGAAAAAGCCTAGGATTATCTTTAAAGGATTTGGGCTTACTTTGATCTGGACTTACTTTGATACTATTTAGTATTGTGGTCTGTTTTCTTACACTCTTCAAAATATATTCATTTGTCGTGGAAGTCATACTAAACTCTATAGAGAAGCTGCATGGTGTGAGGAATTACACCTCCAAAGAAAAATACATAAGCATGACTACTGATTTAATATCGGTGCCAAAATTTGACATGTTGATCCTAAAAAGGATAAAGTATTTGCTAACTTGGGGTCTACCAAATCACCTGCCCTCTATGGATCATTATACAGGATTTCTTCACACCATAGAAAATGACAGTCTGATTTGTTCTCATCATCAAAGTTTGCCTAGAAGGAATCTCTCAGTTTAATCATGCTATAAACTTCTTCCAACAAACTAAAACCAAGCACCATGTTTTTCACACACGACAACTTGCAATAATTGATCGGGGGGTAGTATTCTATTACCTGACTAGCAGCAAATCCTTTTTCATGCTGTAAAAATAATTAATAATAATAACAATAACAAACCAGTGACAAAGATCACAAAGTATTTCCTGCATATTTTAAAGAGCATATGTAACCTTCAGTTTTACTTAGTTTATATCTTTAAATAGCACAAGTAGCAGATACCGACCAAAACCCCCCAGAGCCTGGCAGCTCTTATAATGTAGTTAATAAGTCGATTGGATGCTAACTAAAAAAAAAAAATTAAAAGTGCCTTTATCAGTGTTTTGTGTAAGATTAGGGTTTAACAACTAGATAAGCAAAGTAAAAACTGCCTGTAAAAACAAGTGAATGTGCTTTTTACAAATTAGTTAGATAAAGCCTGTCACAATAGTGGCAAAGAAGTTACAAAACATTTCTTTGAGGAAGTTTACATAAAAGCAATATATAAAATATATGCCACATTGAGTTTCAAATAACTGGGTTTTTTTAGTTTGTAGTTGATTTTCAAGTGTTTTTAACGAAGTATATGTTTTCAGCTGCAAGTGGTAAGCACAGTATGAAGAGCAGAATACTGTAAGTAGAAACCACTTGAACAAAAACCAACTAGTTAACAGTAGCCTTTACTGAAACAAGTATCCCTTCTATAAGATACCAGTTTGGGAGTAGATTGATCAGTACCTGAAGAACATACAGATTTGCTAATTTATTTTTTGAATGAAAAATGTTTTTGTAAATGTCAAAGTCCTTCTTAAGAACAAAATGTTGGAATATGTTTCTTTGATGTCCTCTACGATGTGCTGCTTTGCAAGAAATCACCTCTAATTTAAGCCAAATTAAAGCTTGCATATAAATTCTGATTACTTTCTTTCTGAAAATATTTTGCTCTAGAATTGAGGAAGCTTCACATTATAAAATAAACACTGATAACTTGGAAATGAGTTAGAGTGAAAGGTCAGTTATTTTTATGTAGTTTCCACTGGCCTAAATGTAAGCAGGCCTTAAATATTTGATAAGCCTCTCCAAATTCCCTTTGTTTACAACTTTCAATAAACCTTCACAAATGGCTTCAAAGAAACTGTGTACTTCAGATCAGCCTTGTCTTCTGAATATTTTTATACAAAATAAATTTAAGTACAAAGTTGTGCTGGTTTTGGCTGGGATAGGGTTAATTTTCTTCATAGTAGCTAGTATGGGGTTATGTTTTGTATTTGTGCTGGAAACAGTGTTGATAACACAGGGATGTTTTAATTACTGCTGAGCAGTGCTTACACAGAGTCAAGACCTTTTCTGCTGCTCACACCAACCCACCAGCGAGGAAGCTGGGGGTGCCCAAGAGGCTGGGAAGGGACACAGGCGGGGCAGCTGACCCCAGCTGACCAAAGGGATATTCTGTACCATAAGATGTCATGATCAGCATATAAAGCTGGGGAAGAAGAAGGAAGGGGGAACATTCAGATTATAGCCTTTGTCTTCCCAAGTAACCATTACGTGTGATGGAGCCCTGCTCTCCTGGCTATGGCTGGAGACATGTCTGCCAATGGGAAGCAGTGAATGAATTCCTCAATTTGTTTTGCTTTGCTTGCATGTGTGGCTTTTGCTTTACTTATCAAACTGCCTTTATCTCAACCTACATATTTTCTCACTTTCACTCTTCCAATTCTCTCCCCCATCCCACTGGGGAGGAGTGAGCAAGTGGCTGGATGGTGTTTATTGCCAGATGGAGTTAAACCACAGCAACAGTACATTAAGCATGTACTGTGATCTTATAGATAAGTTTATGTGTAATAAAGAAATAACATTAAAAAGTACAAGTTTTTTGGTAACACAAGAGACTGAGTGTAAACTAGTCACGTTAACAAGAGAATGAGATGGGTAGCTGAAAATTCTCAAGCAGCTTTCTCACCATAAAGAAGTTAATTTACAAGTTAGAGTAAGGTTATGTGCTGAACTAAATGGAATAAAAGAATTTCTTTTTTCAGAGAAACTGGGAGACTTTCCTCAGTGTGAAGTTTTTTACACTGCAAATGCACTAAAGAGATGACATACTGAAGAACTTCAAATATTATTAAAAACCCCCTGAGAGTACTGGCCCAGAGACTATTTTGTGAAAGCCTCCTAAAAAAAAAAAAAAAAAAATGTGCTTGAGCAGCTCCCATGCAAAGACAGAAGCTTGGGACACGTTTTACAATATGATAATGACAAATGCATCTGTCAACTTGAACAGGTGGAAGGAGCTTTCTCAGATACGATTAATTGGTGATGATAGATGTCTGCTTTACATGCCGACAGTTGGAGAAGCAAGCTAGCCCTAACAATAGGTTCTAGAGAATCCATCACACTCAGCCTACAACAAAGTGCAAAGTATTGCAATGATTTCCACTTAAATAGAAAAAACAATGTTTCAGTGAGGAAATAAAAACAGAAATAAGAAATTACCTGTTCAGGAACCTATAGCAAGGCAGTGCTGTGGAGAGCCATTAAGAGAAATAGCAACTGTTGGCTTCTAGACCATTCTCCTGTCTGCTGATCCCTACACCTCTTTGATGACTGTGGGTTGACAACTGAAAAGTCAGAGATGCTCCTTAAGGCAAAGATGTTATCATGCATTGTTTTTTCATTCACACATCCG